TATTTAGACCTCTTTAATGTCTTTTGCCTCCTAGCTCTTTCCTCTATTTCCCTTGACTTTCCTCTTGTCCCACTAGAGACTGTAACTCTTTACAGGAGTAGAAAGTCTGATCTTTCTCCCAAGGAGTACCTGGTGGTTTTGAGCTTTCCAAGATACAATGGGCTCCCCTTGAATTTATGAGGCATTCAAGCAGAATTGGGAAAGGATGCCACAACTGGTGGGCATGTAGGTAGGAAGTATGGGGTAGATTTAAGCATTAAATAGGGAGAATCTAGGATCTTACAAAAGGAAAAGAATGCCAGAAAAGTCCCAATTATTTTGATGACTCTTTCAGATATTTATTAAAATGTCTCTTGAAATTCTAATTTTTTCAGAATTATGCTAAGATGACAGATGATCCAAGTCTGGTAGAGTGGGTGTGGGAGGTGAGCTCAGAGCCTGCTGAACAAATTCCCAGATAAGCAGGCATCTGTTTGTCTGGAATGCAGGTGTTAATGAGAAGGAACTGTTAATTACACATAAATCTGTAGAAACAAGCTAATGACTATTTCTAAAAGTCAGGTTACTTACCACCTTCAATGTTTGACCTGGGAAACCAGCTAGCAGCCATGCTCTTCCAGCTGTGTATAACGGTTCTATTTTGTTTTAAGTTTCCACAACCACATGTTCTAGTAGCAACATCTCCTCAGAGGAAAATGAGCTCCCCCATCACCAGGGAAGGGTAAGCAGTAGTGAGATAGCCACTTGAATAGAAGATGTGTAGAGAGAAAGCTTAAATTAGAACCAGACCCACCGCCATTGAGTCTACTCTCATTCACAGCAGTCCTATACAGCAGAGCAGAGTGGCCTTACAGGGTCTCCCAGGCTGTAAGTCTTCACACAGCAGACCGCCTCGTCTTCCTTCAGAGCGGCTGGTGGGTTCAAACTGCTGACCTTTCAGTTAATAGCTCAACACTTAATTCACTTTTCTACCAGGGTTCCTTCAGGAAAGATATATTCCCATTCAGAAAGTCTTCCTGACAGAATTTGGGATGTGGCTCAAATTTTCTATAGGGCAAAGAAATCTGGGTAAAAGGATATGTCTGAGTTTAGCACTGTTTACATTAACCTTAAATACCTGTATTTGTTTATGTCATTGATGTTATTTTTTTCTGCCTAGTACTGGAACTGTTTATCTGCGATTGGATTTACTTGTCAAGATGATTACTTTGTAAAAGTCTTTTTGAAATTAATAAAGTTTATCCACTGAGGACTATGCACATATATGACATATATCAACATGAATAAGCTGCAATCCCTGTTTTCAAATATGCTCATATAGTTCTGGGACATTGGTCGGAGAAACACTTGAACATGAATACCAAAATTACCTATTTATAGATCTAGCTCCACTCAGGCACACGCGCGCGCGTGTGTGTGTATCTGATCCTCTATTATACAGACTGCGTTCCTAGTGTCTCCTACAAATTGGGACACCTTTACCTACACAAAAGGCAGAATAGCTAAAAAAGGTCTCTGAGCAGTGACTCCATGGGTTGGCAAACTTTTGAGACTGAAGGCCACTCTTGTCCCTCACAGTAACTTAAACATTATTTGAGAGCCAGAAATACATTTTTACAAACAAATGAAATCACTATGATCTGAATAATATCCTTTCAGTTTTTCAGTTGTACTTCAGAGCCGCATGTCTGTACTGAAAGAGCCACACGTGGCTGGTGAGCTGCAGTTTGCTGAGCCCTAATCTACCCGTAGCATTATCAACACTAATGTCCTTTCTCTGCCATGGAAACACACACTAAATTGGTCTGATCAGTAACAAAAACCCACTGCCATCGAGTTGATACTAACTCAGAGTGACCCTATAGGACACAGTGGAACTGCCCATAATTTTCCAAGACTCTAACTGTTCTGAGAATAGAAAGCCCCATCTTTTTCCCACAGGTGGCGAGTGATTTCAAATTCTTAACCGTTCAGATCACAACCCATCTAGTAACCCCTAGGCCACCAGGGCTCCTGGTATCATCAGTAGGTAGCTAAAAATATACGTTGTCCATATAACCACTTAGTTTGAAAAGGACTACTCATAAAAACCTTGAAGCACTGCATGAGCTTAAATGATTTTGTTCTCTAAATATTTAAAATGAAGTTAGTTAAATAAATACAGGAAGGAAAATGGTATCATGAGTTGGCCTTCACCTTTACTTGCACCCTCATCAAAGTAAAAGTTTATCAGGTGACGCTTCTCTCCCATGAGACCTGTGAGGTGTACATCGTTATAAAGCGTTTACTTCTACTTTCTTTTCTCTGTGCTGTACAGCCTCTTTGTTATGAAGAGTGCAGTGAGACATGTTTCCTCATCCCCTTGCCCTTTAATCTAGTTTTCATTTTCCATATATTTTAAGGCCTGTTGTAATTTCCACGCGCCTTTATTGTATTTCCCGCTGGGAAGATGCTATGAAAGTGCAGGTAGCTACTGGTTGGCAGGCAGAGCAGGAGAAACAGCTTCCAAAGAGAGCCACCAGCCCTGGCCATCCGGTCGATTCTGACACACACGAAACTCACTGCCCTTAGCTGACTCTGCCTCATGATGGCCCTACAGGACAGAGCAGCACTGCCGCACTGGTTTCCGAGGCTGTGAGTCATCACAGGAGCAGCCAGCCTCCTCTGTCTCCCGGGGAGTGCCTGGTGGGGCAAACGGATGGCCTTATGGGTACAAACCCAACTTGTCACCCACTGTGCCACTAGTGGGCAACTTTATGGACTCATAGCGATCTCATATAGGGTTTCCTAGGCTATACATTTTTTACAAGAGCTAATTGCTTGATTGTTCTCCTGATGCATAGCTGGTGGATTTGAACTGGCAACATTGCAGTTAGCAGTCCAACATTTACCCAACAGCACCAGAGTAAATAGAAGAGAGTGAATGGTAACCTTTAGAGTACAAAAAAATATTGTGTGTTTTGAATTCTCCATAGCATAATAATTGTTTACAGCATTATTGCTCTCAGTGAGATAACTTCATACTTAAAACCAAAAAAACCCAAACTTTTCTCTTTAGGAGTAAAGACATTACCTTCGCAAAGTGAAATGAAGGCAGAAATAGCTAAGGCTCAAAAAGAAATGGAAGAAAGGTAAGAAATTCTCCAGGTTGTTATGTAGTTATTTTTCTGCTTATTACTTAATGAGGACACGATGTTGTTGTTGCTCTTGCTTGGTGCCTTCCAGTCAGTTTTGACTCAGAGTGACCCTCCTTACAACTGTGGCTGTAGCTGAGCCCACTGTTACTGTTACTGTGTCAGCCTATCTCATTGTGGGTACGGTGTTGAGAAGGGCTTAAGTTACATTTTGAAGGATAATGAAATCATTCGTGACACTATTATGGTGGAGTGTCTACAGAAGCAGTGCTTTGGATGGAGGAAATAATAGAGAGCCGCTTAAGGAACAGTGTCTAAAATCCTGTGTGTAGGGCCCAAAGGAAAAATCAAGTAGTAGGAAAAATACATGGCGATGAAACCAGGTATATCATTTAGCTGGGGTTATTTGACCTGCTTCTGGAGCTGCCAGAGAATGAAAGACTAATCCAGAATGAAATAAGAAGTAGCTGTCGTTGAATTACTATCTGTAGGTAGATTTACAAATCTGTTTTGCAGTGGCACATTTCTGCCTGTCCTGGGGAGAGGATGCGATCAGCCAGCTGCTTAGTCCTTGAGTAAACACATTAATCCAGCATTTGGAATTTCAGATCTTGCACAGAATCCCTAAATGATTTCTATTTAGACAAAGTGGAAGTGAATGGTAAATTTCTATGTTTGTGGAAGAGTCAGAGGCCCGTCATGACGGGTCCAAAGAGGTGGTTTTCTTCGATTAACTATTCCAATAAGCGAAGTTTTTGTGCAACCTTGCCCCGCTTCCCAGTCCTTTCCTATTTTCTTCCTCCTTTTCACTCCCAAATGGAAAGCTTCGGAGTGATGTGCTCCATAGTCTCTCTCTTGACTCCCCCTAATACACCTACGTTATACATTCCATTTTTACCACTGAACCTACCCTCTTGAAACCATCCACAGCCGATTTCCTTCCCCTCCTTGTTACTGCACTTGGTACTTTGAACAGTTCTTCTTTCTTAGAATGCTTCACTCCCTGCACTGAATTATCCTATTTCAGCTTGCCTCCTGTTTCTCCTTTTTTAGTCTAAGCCAGGGATCCTCAAACTTTTTAAACGGGCCCAGTTCACTGTCCCTCAGACCCGTTGGAGGGCCGGACTATAGTTAAAAAACAAAAACAAAACTATGAACAAATTCCTGTGCGCACTGCACATATCTTATTTTGAAGTAAAAAAACAAATGGGGCAAAAATACCCGGCGGGCCGGATAAATGTCCTCAGCGGGCCGCATGTGGCCTGCGGGCCGTAGTTTGAGGACGCCTGGCTAAGCACCCTCTGACTATAAATAAACTGTCCCCAAGGATATAAAGGCGTTATTGAAGGGCCGTTGTGATTTATTAATCGATGCATGAGCTTAATCCTCTTAACTATGATACAAGGTAGATTGTCGTGAACATCTTACAAAACCCTCATCGACACTGCAGCTCTTTACTCTCTATTGTGGGATGAAGAAATGCATGCCTACAGCCCGTTGATGCAACGTGACGTCCATAGGGAAAGCCCTTAAATCTTTCCTTTCTTCTCTTCTAAAGTCTAGTGCCATCTCGGTAAATTCCTTTTTGGTCACTTATCTAGGATTTCATCCTACTAATTTTACCCTCAAATTTACTATCAGTCTCCACACACCATCTTTGCTTTTAGAATCCCCATAGTAAACCTATTCATTCCATCTCACTTAGCTTGCCTTTTCTGTCCCACTATTGTTTATTTTATTTTCATTATAGAACATTAAATATGAAAATAGCCATTTAGCTTCTCAAATCCCACTCTCTCTGCACAACTAATCACATCTTTTTATAACATTTTGTTGTTGTTGCTCGCTTACAAAGATCTCTTCACTCTTCAAGTCTATACTCAGTGGAATCATCCTGTCTGCCTCCATTTGGAGGGCTGCTCCCTCTTTGGGGATAATCATCTTTTGTCTTCCTGTTAGGATTCCAAATTAACGTCCCCTCTGGGAATGTGCTCTGTGGATCTCACCACCATTGCCCAGATTTAATTTTTTTTAAATGGAAACTACCACACTTACAGTGATTGATGTAGTAAAGAGGTTTGTGGTTAGTTGTCTCTTTCTGATAACATCAGAGTCCTTTTTAGACCTTATTTGCCTTTCCATGCCCATTATTTGCTTCCCACCTGTGCCTCATCAACAGTAGGTGATACCCACAGATAATCTTTGCTGATGTTCTATACATGTCATCTTAGAATAAATATCACCAAAATCCTCTTTAGGAGTGACAATGCCATCTTCCACGCGTTTGCTTTAGGTGTATCACCATCAGAGATCAATTTCTCGGAAAGGGGATGGTGGTTGGCAACCATGAAAGAAACCCCCCATGAGCTGGACTGACACAGTAGCTTCGGCAGTGGGCTCAGACATACCAATGAAGACTGGACAGGAATGGAAGGAATGCATAGAGTGACCATGAGTTGGAGCCATCAATGGCCACTGACAACAGTTGTGCTCGTCTTCCTACTCATTCACGATGCCGTTCTCCCAAATTATAATACTTTTTATTCTCAGAATATGTCTATCTTCCACATCTTTCAAGACCCTAGTTATAATTGTTCTCATATAACTATCCCCCCTCGACATTTCCATTGCGCAGTCTAAACTTACCAAGAGCCGTATATTTCCCACTGCGCCGTGTGCCTCAGGAATACCTCTTGTACTAGATTTTCAGCGTAATGAGGACAGACCATATTTCATATTTCCAACTGTTTTCCATAGCTCTTAGCCCCCAAATGAACCAATAGCAGCTTCCTCTGAAAGTACTGATTAAGTGGGTGATTGATTTATTAAACTGTTGACACACCATTGCTTCTGTCTTCTCTAGATATGTGGAGAGTCAACGCCATACGATTCAGGGAGACTATGTTGATACAATGGAAGAGCTTGCTGATCTGGTGGGAGTCAAACCCAACCTGCTGGCTTTGGCCTTCACTGATCCCAAGTTGGCATTCCACTTATTATTGGGGCCCTGCACTCCAATTCATTATCGTCTACAGGGCCCTGGGAAATGGGATGGAGCACGACAAGCTATCCTTACTACAGATGATCGTATCAAGAAGCCTATGATGACAAGAGTAGTTGAGAAGCATAACTCTGTGAACTCAGCAGTGACAATGGTCAAGGTTATGCTAGTTGTTGCCTTCTTTGCTGTCATCATGACCTATTTTTAGCTGGGCCACGCCACTGCTCCTGCTTTCACTGGAAATCTGATTCGAGAACCCTTTAGAGCCTTAAGAAATGAACAAACTCTCAGAGTCACATTGTCTAGAAACCTACTTTTCTTTCCATGGCAATAATCCTCCTCCCCTTTTTTCTTTCCTGCAGTGAAATCATAGTTTTTATTCAGCTTGATTGACTCACCTTCCTTCTGCTCAGACCCCTTCCTTTTTCCTTCCAGCAGTCTCAAGCCTGTGAGCTCAGGGACAATTTCCAGCCATCCTACGGGTCCCTAGGAGAGTTCTGAACAGATAGAAGTGGTTAATAGATGTTTGCTGTTGGTTATTACGTACCATGGTAGGAAGCATAAGTCAGCATACGAGCTGGTTGACTGTGTAATTCTGTTTCTAATGGATTTGGTTTCCTATTGGAAACTCCATTTTTTGTTTGTTTGTCATATTATAGCTAATTGCATGTTCCCTGAGAGACGAAAAAGCATGCTCATAAAACAATACTATGTGTCTCGAATACAACATGACTTCAGACACTGTTTCACTTCCTATCCTCGACTCCCACCACTGCCCACTAGCTGCCATCAAGTCTACTCCAGCTGATGGCAGCTCCATATATCAGAGTAAAATGGTCGAAGAGTTTCCAACAACTGATTATTTGGAATTAGATCACTAGGCTGCCTTTCAAAATGCCTCTGTATAGACTTGAACCTCCAACCTTTTGTTTGCTAGCTGAGCCCCTTGCCTCTTATATCATCACCAAGGGATTCCTGTATTTTTTAGTTAACCTGATAGTTTTCCTAAGCAATACACCTTTATTTCTCAATAAAGAAACCAACTTCAACTTTCTAGGCTCACAGACCATTCTAATAATCTAGCGTCTGCCAAGAGGTTCAACTTGGTTGAGAAATTTGGGGTTTTTAATTAGCTGTCCTAGCTGCTTGAACTCTTGGTTTCCATATTCAGGATCCATCATGACTTTTACCTTAGGAAGAAAGCTTGGTTGTAGTGGGAGCTACTAATCTGATGTGATTGGCTTCCCCTCTCCCTTGCTTATCCTAGCCTCACCATTCCCTCTGAATGAAATCTGTCATGAATACTGGAAGATGTCATTTATGTATGTTAAAAAAGCAAAAAAACAACTGAGGCTCAGGTTGACAGATTCTGATGGGTGCATAGGAAATTTCACAGTGATTATTGACCAATATGGAATATACCCAAGAACAGAGAGGAAGAACAAAGAGGATACAATAGGAATACAGTGATCATAAAATTGTAAAAACCTGTCCGTTGGACAAGACAAGCTGTTAATCATGAACTTGCTTGAAGTTTACTTTTTGCAAATAATTTAGCTTTATCCAAAGTAATCTGGGTTTTGCCCATTTCTTGAGATCATGCTAAATTCTTGGAGTCTTCCTGAGTAATTAAGATGCCTTTGTTAGACAAATGAATGGGTATTGATTTAGGCCACAAGGAAAAGAGAGGAGCAGAATGCTATTATGCTAAAGTTAGCCAAATGATTCATTTTCCACGTGGTAGTTCCTTTCTTTTCTCTTTAAAAGATTATATTTAATCCACAATGTGCCTTTTTATTTTTCTGAAGACATGTCTTGTTGTATGCATACAGACTAACTGCTTGAATAAACCCTATGTGATTTCACCCCTTTGTGTTTTGATTATTTAGATGTGTATCAAACTAGAGTGTATATTAATTAAATGTATGGGCATCCTGCTTATACCACGTTTTCTTGTGTAGTTTCACTGTAGTTCTGAAAAACAGAGCAAATCAAATCGAAACCAGAGACTTGGTTTGTGCTGGGAGAAAAATGATCCCAAATTCAAATGTGCCTATGGAGAGTTTCATTAACCCGTAAAGGGACACAGACAAATAGGGAGCCTTCAGCAGGAAGCTAGTGGCTGTTCTTAGGTGTTAGTGAGTCCGTTGCCCCCCCGCCGCCCC